TGTGTGTGTGTGTGTGTGTGTGTGTGTGTGTGTGTGTGTGTGTGTTTGCGCGCGTGTGAGAGTGAGAGTGTGTGTGTGGGAGAGAGTGTGTGTGTGTGGGAGAGTGTGTGTGTGTGTGTGTGTGTGTGTGTGTGGGAGAGTGTGTGTGTGTGTGTGTGTGTGTGTGTGTGTGTGTGGGAGAGTGTGTGTGTGTGTGTGTGTGTGTGTGGGAGAGTGTGTGTGTGTGTTGTGTGTGAGATAACTTGGTGTCGTGTGATTTTTGACCTAATGCTCATGCAGTTCTGACTCATTTATCCAACAGTTTCCACCCATTTTTAACACACGCCATTGCTGAAAAAGAGAATGTAAAACTTTGATATGCCTCACAAAGCCTTCAGAGAAAGGACACCCTGAACATTCAGTTTCTAGGCAACCCAGACCAGTTACTGATATCTTACCAGAGGTCCTGGAGTATTGTCCATCACTGTCCAGTAGTTGTCTATTGGGTCATATTTGTACATATTCTCCATGAGACCTCCCATAATATAAATCACATTGTTTACGGTGACTGCATTGATGCAACGTTGAGCAAATGGACTTGAGGCTGTAAACGTCCAGTCATCTTTCACTGGGTCATAACATTGGACCTTTCCAAAAATAAAACAGACATTGATTCTTAGAGACCTGCACAGAAACCAGGCAGGAGGAAGTATCCCAGCTACACCTTTCGGTCTACCCCTTTTAGTCAGTCCCATATACATCACCTGTGGTTCAGCCTGTAGAAACATCACCATTCCCTGACCATATCAAATGATTGTGGGTTCAGATTGGTGGAGATGGGTTCAATTGAGAAAATCAAGAGGGCATTGGATGGTTTTTTGACAGTAATGATGCGCAGAGGGAAAAAAACAGAATTGGCACTAGATAGTCGAGTTGGTAGAGGCATGCTGGGCTGAATGGCCTCCTTCTTTAAGACAATAACGCCATAAGAAGTAGAAATAGCAGTAGGCATTTGGCTCCTTGAGCCTCTTCCATCGTTCAACAGAATCATGCCTGATCCAACATTCCTCATATCCACTTTCCTGCCCTTTCCCCGTAACCCTTGATTCCCGACTGATCAAGAATCGGTCTCAGCCTTAAATATACACAAGAACTCTGCCCCCACAGCTCTCCGTAACAAGGAGTTCCAAAGACTCACAACCCTCTGAGAGAAGAAATTCCTCCTCATCTCAGTCTTAAATTGGTGCCCCTTTATTCTGAGACTGTGCCCTCTGGTCCTAGATTCTCCCATGAGGGGAAACATCCTCTCAGCATTTATCCTGTCAAGCTCCTTAAGAAACCAATATATTTCAGTGACCTCTCATTCTTCTAAATTCCAAGGAGTAGAGTCCCAAGCTGTTTAACTTTTGCTCATAAGACAATCCCTCCCTACCAGGGATTATCCCAGTTAACCTTCTCTGAACTGCCTCCAATGAAATAATATCCTTTCTTAAATAAGGGGACCAAAACTGCTCACAGTGCCCCAGATGTGGTCTCCCCAGCACCTTGTACAGTTACAGTAAGACTTCCCTGCTCTTATGCTCCAACACCCTTGAAATAAGGGCCAACATTCCAATAACCTTTCCTGATTACCTGCTGCCCTCGTGTGCTAGAATTCTGTGTTTCATGCACAAGCACTGCACCCTGCCCCACCTCCCCCACCAAAGTCCCTTTGTGTTGTAGCCTTCTGCGATTTTTTTCCATTTAAATAATGCTCCATTATGTAGTTTTCACATTTTCCCACATTATACATCAATCAGCCCTAGCAAAACTGGATTCAATGTGTATCAGGGAACAAACTCTCCACTGGTTGGAGTAATCACTGGCACATAGGAAGAAGATTTTGGTTGTTGGAGGTCAATCATCACAGCTCCAGGACATCTCAGCAGGAGCGCCTGGGGGTAGTGTCCTAGGCCCAACCACGTTCAGCTGCTTCATCAATGACCTTCCCTCCATCATAAGGTCAGAAGTGAGAATGTTTGCTGATGATTGCACAATGTTCAGCACCATTCGTGACTCCTCAGATACTGAAGCAGTCCATGTTCAAAGTTAACAAGATCTGGACAATATTCAGACTAGGGCTGACAAGTGACAAGTGACATTCACACCACACAAATGCCAGGCTATGAATATCTCCAATAAGAGACAATCTAACCACCACCCCTTGATAGTCAGTGGTCTTACCATCACTGAATAGCCCACAATCAACATCCTGGGGGTTACCATTGACCAGAAACCTAACTGGATTCACCGCATAAACACTGTGGCTACAAGAGTGGGAATCCTGCAGCAAGTAACTCCCGTCCTGACCATCCAACACTTGTCCACCATCTACAAGGTACAAGTCAGGAGTGTGATGGAATACTCCCCACTTGTCTGGATGAGTGCAGCCCCAACAACACTCAAGAAGCTTGACACCATCCAGACAAAGCAGCCACTTGATTGGCACCACATCCACAAACATCCACTTCCTCCACCACTGACGCTCAGTAGCAGCAGTGTGTACTATCTACAAGATGTATTGCAGAAATTCATCACGGCTCCTTAAGACAGCACCTTCCAAAGCCATGACCATTTCCATTTAGAAATGACGAGGGCAGCAAATACATGGGAACACCAGCCAGTGCAAGTTACCCCAAACCACTCACCACCTGATTTGGAATGTTCCTTCAATGGTGCTAGGTAAAAATCCTGGAATTCCCTCTCTGAGTGCACTATGGGTCTACCTACAGAACATGGACTGCAGCAATTCAAGGAATTCCAGAATTTTGACCCAGCGAAACTGCAGGAACAGCGCTATATTTCCAAGTCAGGATGGCGACTGGCTTGGAAGGGAGCTTGCGGGGAGTGGGTGGTGTTCCCATGAATCTGTTGGTCCTTGTACTTTTAAACGATAGAGGTTGCAGTTCTAGAAGGCCCTGTCAAAAGAGTTTTGGGGTAGTCACTGCTACAATGTAGGAAACATGACAGCCAATTTGTGTACAGAAACCTCCCACAAACATCAATGTGATCACAACCAGATAATCCATTTCTTTTTAAAAGTGATGCCAATTGAAGGGGAGCCGATGGCCTAGTGGTATTATCGCTGGATTGTTAATCCAGAGACCAGATAATATTCTGGGGACTGGGGTTTGAATCCCACCACAGCAGATGGTGGAATTTGATTTCAATAAATATCTGGAATTAGAAGTCTAATGATGACCATAAACCCATTGTCGCTTGTTGGGAAAAACCCATTTAGTTCACTAATGTCCTTTAGGGAAGGAAACTGCCATCCTTACCTGGTCTGGCCTACATGTGACTCCAGACCCACAGCAATGTGGTTGACTCGGAGCTGCCCTCTGGGCAATTAGGGATGGGCAATAAATGCTGGCGTGGCCAGAGATGCCCTCATCCTGTGAATGAATAAAGGAAAAAAGAAAAAAAAAAAAATCGGGCAGGGCACTGGGACGGGAACTCCCCCGCTCGACATCCAAGTAGTGCCCTGAGACCTTTCACTTCCATGTGGGATCACTTAAGAGGTTATGCAAGGGCTAACCTTTTAACTGCCTGAACCCTTGTGTTTTGACAGAAGTTGGTTCCTTACCTTGTTGGAATTCAGTTGGTTGGTAAGTGCACCCCCTATCACGTACAGCCTGTTCAAACAGGCAACAACAGCTGCTGAGCTCACAGGTTCCAACAGAGGTGCAGTGAACGACCAGCAATTCAAGTTGGAATCGTAACATTCAACACTGGACATCCTGCTGAATCCATTGAAACCACCGACAGCGTAGAGCTGAAAATAAAACAAAATCAAGTTGGTGTTTCAGAGACAGTAGGAACTGCTGATGCTGGAGTCAGAGATAACACAGTGTAGAGCTGGAGGAACACAGCAGGGCAGGCAGCATCAGAGGAGCAGGAAAGTCAACGTTTCGGGTCAGGACCCTTCTTCGGAAATTAGTGCGTCAGCAGTTTTGGAGATAGAGAGAATTTTCTTCTCTCAGAGGGTTGTTTTTCTGTGGAATTCTCTTCCCCAGACAGGCATTGGGAGAGTAAAATGTTCAAGGCTGAGTTAGAGAATTTTTTTACTGACAAAGCTTACAGGCAGGCAGACAGGGAAGTGCAGATGGACCACAATCAGATCAGCCACAGTGGAGCAGGATTGAAGGGCTGAATGGCCTGCTCTTCCTCCTAATTCGGATCTTTAACTGTTTACACAGGATCTTGGTGTCCTACCTCACCTGCCACCCACATTCTTGAACAGCTAATCATTATCTTTAAAGTTTGAGCTTTTGATCCACTTGACAATGACAATACAATGACATCATTAATTTCATGATCTGTGGTGAATTGTTACACACACTAACAGGGCAGTACGTACAAAGGGTAGATGTTACACTTAATCCTTTCGTGACCCGGGCCCTAAGTCTAAGGGGGTAGTAGGAACTGCTGATGCTGGAGAATCTGAGATAACACGGTGTAGAGCTGAATGAACACAGCAGGCCAAGCAGCATCAGAGGAGCAGGAAAGCTGACGT